CTGCCCTGGCAGGCCATGGATTTGAAGCTGCCGATCTTTTGGGGGGAAGAGAGGCTGCGGTGGATTGGTCGTCGGACTGATGTCCACCGCTTACTCTATAAGCGGATTAACAAGAAAATGTCCTTAACAAGCAAGGTAAGGTGGTAGAGGTTGGTAAAAATAAAAATTAACGACGTCACCGACTGTAGCCGGTGGAAATCACTCCTCTGACAGAGATTGCGGGCTGAGTTCTTTCAGCAATCAGCCAGCCTTTGAGTGGAAGGTAAGGTGCCTGCGCAAGCCACAGGGAGCTGGCAGAGCGCCAAGGTGGGTAATTGTTAATGAGAGCCGGCGCACTCGGCTCGGAGAAATGGCTATATGCGCGGCTAATTTGTCACTGCGCCTGCGCGCCCCTGATGGTAAGCAGGAACGGTGTGTAGCGAAAACGAACCGCCTTTGTAGCTGCCGGTCTGCCGATAAGCAGGTATCGCCAGAGATAAAGAACCTCAACGAGGTAACTTGGCTGGATAGAAAATGCTGATATTCGGCAAAAAATAACCTCTGCTTTGCGGCGCCCGACAGTCAGAGCGGTTTTAAAATGGCGGCGGGCGGGAATTCGCCTCAGTGCCGCTGTCTGTTAACTGTCAGTCGGGAAGCGTCCTCAGAGCTTGCTATCTCCACTGCGGTCTGATTCAAATGGTAATAGATCGAGGCACAATTTGCATCGGATTAGGATCAGACAAACTAGAATTCTCGCTGTTTAGAATGTGCTTGAAGACACTAGGCTTCAAGCTAAGCACAGACAATAAAGAAATAGAGTTTTTCCCCGGCCGGTAAGCTTGCTAGCACGGCACTAGGGCTTCGAGCTAAGCAGAGGCAATCAACAAAGGAGTTTTCTCCAGCTGGTAAACTCGCTAGCAAGGCACTAAGGCTTCGAGCTAAGCAGAGGCAATAATCAAACGGAGTTTGCTCTGGCCGGTAGCAGGGACTCCAAACACATGAGGCAGGTCAGCACCAAGTTGAAATTGTATTGGTGGTGGCAGCCCTAATGGTAAACCGGGAGACTATCGCATCCAACGGTGGCAAAGAAACAGAGATGGCGCAGCCGGGACAGAGCTCAGATTAAGTGGCTGATCAGACAATTTTGGGAAGAGGGAGTCAGGCCAGAGCCCCAGAGCGACTCACCATCCCTGGTATCAACAATACAGCAGTCCAATTGCAGTCAGGCAAAAATTTGAAATAAAGACACAGTCCAAACCAAGTGATATAAAGAAGAATCCAAAGCGGTGAAATTCAAATAGTGTAATCTCCAGAGCAAGCCAAAGTTCAGTCTCTTCAGCTCCACTGAGTGAATAAAACTGACACCAGTCGAGCGAAGGAGGCGGAACCAAGACAAAATTTAAAGGAACATACACTCAGTCTCTGGCTAATACACTATTGATAACCCACGCTTTGGATTCTCCAAGCAGCGCACTGGAGAACAGATAACTACTATAAGGAACATACGTGTGCTTTCAAGCATTTTTTTTCTGCAACTATTCTTAGAGAATTCAGGTGTAAAAGCAAAGAGATCAGGCAAATTGGAATTAGAGGCCCAGTTTCTGTTTTAAGTCAGCACTATTGGAGATGAACTGAACTACCTGATTGCAGCTTTTGATTCATCCAATGAACTCATGTTCTACTGATGGTTCCAATAAATTTTAGTGATCCCCTTAGCATAGGGGAATTATAGCAAAACATCTGGAGAACATTAGGTACCTATCCCCTTTTTAGGACCTGTAGAAAATCTAATCATGCCAAATATTATTTTTATAATAGTACAAATTTCATTAAAAGCTATTTGAGAGTTATTAAGCTGTGGGGTCCTTGGTGCTCTCTGAGTTTGATGCAAGTACTAATATTACTTAATTTGGTAATGAAACATCTGCAAGAAAACCACCAAGGTTTTCAGAGAGCATCAAGGACCCAACAGTTCAACCTGAGTTACAAATATTATCTTCTATTTGTGTATTCAAGTAACACCCTAGCAACCAGTTGAGATACTTCATTCTTTCCCACAAGGAGCTACTTTGTGCAGGTACAAAAATGAATCAATTCACTGTAAAAAAATTCATTTAGCTCCGTTTGCCTAAGTACGTCAACACATCTTCCAGCTTCATGTCATTTTAATTTGGCTATAACTAACTTTAATATTTTTTTTAAAGTTTAAATACACACACACAATTATAAGAGATTTCATTACCTATAACTGAAATCTTTATTATAAGAAAATATATGGGAGGTTTAACAACATTGGTGAAATGAAAAACCTCATGCATTAATATGTCTTTCTGAGTTCAACTAATGTCAGATGTACAGCATTTTGGAGTAGAAAAGACAAAGAATTTCTATCCACATATAGGCATGTAAATACAGATGATCCTGATTCAGTGATTGTTCAAAATTATGACAGCAGTTAATAAATGGGTGTGGCTGTCAGTGTCCCTATGGTCACATGATTACAATTTGGGCACTTAAAAATTGGTGCGCAATTTTGATAGTCAAAGCATTCTGCATTATATAGCAATAGCACTTAGACTTATATAACGCTTCACAGTGCTTTTACAGCCCTCTCTAAGCGGTTAAGTAGCTTGCAGTACTACATTCTAACCACTTTGCCACCACGCTTCTATATGTTAACCATTTGCAACCTTCACTTCCAAGAAGCAGTCTTTGGGGAAACCAGCAGGAGGTCTCAAATGGCAAGCATCACCACAGGACACTGCTTCCATGTAGGATTTACATAGTAACAACTAAAATTACTGCAACTTCCACTGTAAGTCACTACAATCATATGACATCAATTTTATGATTGCATTGCTTAGCAACAGAATTGCCCATCCCAATTCCCATAATTAATCAAGGGCTACCTGAAGCACCTTTCGACAATCCCTTAAAGTAACATGTTTTTTCCTGCGATCACAAACCAGCCACAGAGGCCAGCATACAAATCCTGTGAAAAGACTCAAATGCTTTAAAAAACTGGCAACAGGTGATTTAGAAGCATTCTGAAGCACCACTTCTTTGTATCTACAGTAATAAAGCTAAGTGCCTAGAAATATTTTTTTAAAAGGAAAATATTTCCACTAGATTCATTCATTTTCAATTTCATCTCTATTAGAGACTGCTCAAACCATCTATTACAGGAGTGTCAAATTCACGGCATCACAGCGGCATCACGTGATGTATCGAGACTTTTTTCGCCTTTGCTAAACTGGGTGTGGGCATGGCCAACATGTGATGCATCCGGCCCACAGGCTGGGAGTTTGATAGCCCTGATTTATTAGGATGCTCAAACAGCATTATTCAAGGGATAATGCAATCTGCTGTAAACATGAAATTCAAAACTGATTTAAAAACTCAATTCTGCCTTCTGTGTTTAATAAGGTTCACATCCACCCTGTGAAGAACTCAATGCCTATTACATAAATGTAGTTGTTTCAAAATGTATTTGGATCAAATTTTACCATTGCTTCAATGTACATTTTGGTTCCCATCATCCCCAATCAATACAGCAAGCTTCTCTACTGGCAGAGACTAATGGAAATAGCTATTTAGAAGGTAATTATAGATGTATAACTATTATTCTATACTCAAGATGAAAAAGCATTTTTCATTCAAAATACAATATAGTTGTTTAAAGAGACAAACACATAAAACAGGTTTTTCCAGATTTTCATTGCCATGGCATGCTGTCAATATTACATGTATTGCAGCAGATAAGAAAAAAACTCCCAAAATGCATTTATTCTGTACTGTTTGAGAATCCTAACATAATTTCTTATGTGAGTAATAGTCTACAGCACATACCATGTTTCCCCGAAAATAGGACCCTGTCTTATATTTTTTTGAACCCTGAAATAAGCAGCTGGCCTTATTTTTGGGGAGGTCTTATTATTTTGGGACACGTGGAGCAAGATGGGCCGTCTTATCTGATTTCCAGCTCTGCGTTTTCGCACTGAACATTTTCGGTGAGGGCTTATTTTCGGGGGGGAGGCTTATTTTAGTGCATGCACTCAAAAGCCCGATTGGGCTTATTATCAGGGGATGTCTTATTTTCGGGGAAACAGGGTATTTAAAGTAATGATTAAAGACAAAAAATTAAAGGTATGTTTTTAAGAAATGATGCTGATGTCAGCGTTTCGCTGGCATAGAGATAGAGAGAGAGAGAGAGAGAGAGAGAGAGAGATAAGCTCTGAACTTCTGCCTGCTAAATCTCTTTGATGTCCGGTTGTCATGGAAATGAAGGGGGGAGACATTCCTGGGAAATGACGTGACAAGAAGTCTGAAGAATGACTTGGAAGATAGCCAATGAGAAGCAGATATTTGGGGATCGGAAAGGGAGGGATTGGGGGGCAAAAGGTCAGTCTTGTCCACATCGAGTCATGATCCGGTGGCTGTGCTCAATTAAAGAAAAGATTTCCTTAAAGATTGGCAGTTTGGAAATTCATTTATTTTGAGATAGCATCGAAGTCTGACAGCTATTTAACCAAGAGTTTATATTCTCTACACATTGTAGATTTTTTTTGGTACAGAGCAACCAAGAGACTGAGTCACACATTCCTAACTTCATGAAGCTGGAAAGGTCATTTAAGTTACTGAATCCAAATCCCAAATACCTGGAGGAATCCAAATTAAGGCATTCCTGACAGATGGCTACTCAGCCTTTCTTAAATATATTCATAGGAAAAAAATTACTTCATTAAGCGCTGCTTTTATATATTATTTTTTTAATATTCAGTTTAAATCTGTCTTCCTATAACAAAAGCATAATTTCACTACTTGCAGCATGGAATGAAGACAACTACACTCATCTTCTGTTTAGATTTCTTTTAAAAATTTAAATTGTATTGCCAAATCCCTTCTTAAGGTTTTTCTTCTAAGTATTCTTACATCATTTAATGTGCTTTTGTGAGTATTCTTGCTGCTCTTTTTCTGAGCCTTTACATTAGTTTGAAACCTTCTTAAAATAATAAACTTACTGGATCTGTTAACATTGCTCTCAAATGTGAAGCCAGAGCCAGGAATGCCAAAGTATTGAAAACTATTCCATTGATTACACTATAAATATAGTCTCTTGATGGAAGCAGCATTACGAGGATCACTACAAAGTCAGCATAAAATACCAGGAGCCAGGTGATAACTGCACAGGCAATACCACAACCATCTCGAATAAACCACATTGTTCCTGAGGAACTGTATCTGGGAGGTGGGACACACTTGTCCGGTTGAAGATATTCTGGTTTCCTCTCAATATCTCTGAAGCGGTGAACTGGAGTAATCATCATAGGTTATAATGTCCATTCTTGGATCTGGAAAAGAAAAAAAAAGGTTCTCCACTTTATAACCGAATAAAGATTAAAACTTTCTGTTTCAGATGAAACTTTAGTGAAGCAATGATCGAAATACCACAGATGATGATAGCAACAATGATGTTAAAGAAGGATAAAATATTAGCATCCCCCGTCTAAAACATGATTCGACTTGCATTTAGCTTTTTATCATATAGATAAACATTGAAGTAACTAACGACAACAACAAAAAGAATAATAATTTTAATGAATCTTGAATTTCACCAGGAACACTACAAGCATATGATGTTGTCCAATCATGTATGATAGAAGGATTTATAATTCGTGATTCGGTTTCTGGAGGCTGACAATATTAAAATTTGACACAGCTATAATTAAGGTTTATACTTTAGTGTAAAAATACAAATACATTCCTTTATGAAATAAGCAGCTTTCCTCAAACTATCAACTTCAGTGAAGCAGATTAAAAAAGATACAATATGTATTTATCGTTAACATAAAGAAAAATCATATAATGTATTAGCACTGCAAAGTGAGTGTCTAGCAATATAGTGAGCTTTGCCTTGATGAATATTTACATCAGTGCTCCCAAACCATAACTTAAAGGAGATTTAAAGATGGAGTATTTTATTAATCTTTGTGGCTTATTTTTAACAGAACGTAACTTTTTTACTTACATACAATTAAAAATTACATTTTTACTTATATGAATGAAAGGAGTTATAAAATACTTCTTGTACTGTATTAATATAATTCTAAATTTTGAAAAGATAATAAGTAATATTCGTTAGAAGGAAAATTTATGTCATTATCTAAACACATTTTGCAAAAAATACATTTCCTGAATTAAACTTTCATTAAAAGATTTAGAAACTGAATATTTATCTAATCAAACCAACATTCAATTTCCTCTAAGCAACCTCTGCCCCAAATGTATTTATTAACTTTAGCATAGTCTGTTGGCCCTTTTTCCTGCTAATAAACTATTTTTACTTCCAAAAGTTGGGGTCATGAACTATGTATGCAATGGGGCCTTCTTATATTCTGTGCGCTTCTTAATCCAGACTATAACATTTTACCAGCAGGCCTAAATCTCAAGAAAGCTAGGTTATTTTAATCAATCAAACAATTTTTATTACAATCACAGTAATAAAACATTTAAACAATAATAGTAAAAAATAAAAATAAAAGAGAATAATGTATTGTGATTGGTGGTAGATTAACAGTTGGCAGTTTGCCTAATTTTATATATAGCATAGCAGAATTTGGGCACATTCAGGGAAACTGCTTCATACTGATCTGATAACAGTAGCTGCATGTAAAAAAGATCAGTATTTTTTGGATATTTTATTAGGTAAGGTGTTATAAATGGAGTCCATGAGTTCTTATAAAAGATATAGCATTATAGAAGATATAGTAGGATGTGAGCCACAGTTTAAATGGCCCCTTGCTCACAGGGGCACAGTCTCAGCTCATATGGTATTTTTTTTATCAGCCCTCCAAAACTACGGAAGAACCAGTTTATTTTAGGAAATAATTGGATTATCTGTTTTGATTCCAGAATTTTTAAAAATAGACAGAGTCAGAAATTTAACTGAGAAACATTTTCAATGTCAAGGAATGGACATTAGTGTTAAAAACATTTTACCAGATAAAAAGTCTAACAACAAAAGTGGCAAGTATATGTTGGGGGATGGGGGGTAGAGCAAACTAAACTCTTAAAAACGAGCAGTTGCTTTTAATTTTATACTGCCAGATTTTTTAGCCTTGACTGGAATTTAATACATTACTGAATACCAAAGACTTACTTTAATGGAATTAATAAATTAACAGAAGCAAAGCAGCCAAAGTAGTACTTTGATCTTTGGAAGGAAACTGGAACAGTTCCACTGAATATTGCTTCAGCAACTAGGCAGACTATGTTTACTGCATTAATATTTCAAAACTAAATAATCATTAAATCCAAGATATCTACTGATATCTATTAACAGTAACTGAAAATGGTGTAAAACAATTCAACAAGTATTCATTTTTAGTAACATTTTTCAATCTGATAACCATGATGATGCTCTTGAGAACACCTCCTGACAATTACAGCCTTTCCCAACATGAAGCTTTTTGCTGGTAGGACTATTGGTAAACCATCTGTAGTCAATGTTACCCCAAAATAGAACAGTAGTCTCACATGTCTGGAAGACACCATTTTATGAAAAGCTCATGTAGTTCTTAATCCATGTTAAACCAATGAATAGATCAATAGCTGGGTGGGGAAGTGAGCTGGAGTGAAGACAGTCTCTGTGAACAAAAAAGGAGGGATGCTCTCATGATCTACTGCGCAGCTGAATGGAGTTGGTTATACCCAGTCAAGGTCAACCGTCTCGGAATACCAGATGGACAAAAACATTCGAAGATATGCCTCACATGACACCATATGGGATAGGGATTGGACATTCAGCCTGGGTCCCTGGGGGGAGGGATTTGGGGATACTTTCAATATGTAATGAATGAATGAATAAAAGTTTATTATGGTCCTCGACCAGCAATAGACCTACAATAAATTAAAAATAATACTGACATTAATCATGAATAATAACATCCCTGTTATGAAAATACAGTCTCAAACAGTTAGGGTGATTCCCTAATTTACATGAGTGGAGAGCTGATAAGTATGTGAGTAAATGTATTTTTCCAATAATTGTTATAGATATCTCCAAAAAATTGGCACCAGTTGACATCTATAATTCTCTAACCAGTTTTTTTCTTGTGGACATTGAAGCGACACAGAATTTTGCCACTGCCCGCATGATAGCCGGATTTGAGTCTTGGAGGAGAAAGCCTACATAAGTCATCTGTCCTCCCTGGCAATCTCTCTAGTAAGGGGAGAATGTATATTGACCTACATACTCTGTATAACCCATAGTACAATAACACATGTGAGATATCTTAGACTTCTCCTTTTCCACATATGCATACCCGTTCTGCTATTGGTGTTCTCTTGTACCTACCCTGGAGAAGTGAACTGAAGAGGGGAGAATATTAAATCTGGCTCTGAAGAAAGCTATTCTTTGTTTTGAGAAGATCAGATCATTTAGATATCTTGCTGATTCCCACACCCTGCTTGATTCTGTCCCTACTATGGAGAGGCAACCTATTTAGTTCTTCTTGGAACTCCATGTCCTTCATTCTATCAATTACCACTTGCATTGCTTTGTCAAAGCCGAGGGACATTAAGAATACTGATGACAGCCCATAAGAGCCCAGCTTGTGATCTATCGCGTTTCCAAGGGGAGGGGAAGTTGTCAGTCAGTACTAGCAGGGACAGTCCCTCTGGAAAGAAATGAATTTTTAGCCAATAAATGATCATCATCTTCCAGGCTCTTACCTGAATTTGAGGCTGTCTCAATTCTTAGCTGGGCATTTGGAGTTCCTTTGGGTGCAGCTAAGATGGCTCGCAGGAATTTGGTTTGTATAGTTTCTAGCAAGTTTTTCTTTGCAAGGATTCCTGTTTGTGCCCCATAAAGAATTTGCACCAGTGTTTTGGCCTCAAAAATTTTTAAGTCAGCAGGTACTAATTGACCTCTGCCTGTATAAAAGAAGTGTTTAACTGCATTTGAGGACCTATTGGCTGTTTGCAGTGTCTGCTCCAGGTGTGCCTTCCATGTCCCTTGCGAGTGGACCTAACCTAGGACCTAAATGTCCTAACCTGTTCCAATCTGTGTCTTCAATTTTCCAGGAGTATTGTCTGGGTCTTTTGGCAAAAACTAAAATTTTTGATTTATCAAAGTTAAGGATCAACTTGTTCTGTCTACAGAAGCCAAGTGTTGCCCTAATTGCTCTCTTCAGTCCTATGGGAGTTTGTGAAATAATAGCAGGATCGTCGGCATATAGGAGAATTGGGATTTTGCCTTGTGCTATGTTAGGAGGATGTAGATCAGGGTTCTATAAGAGATCAATCAGGGAGTTAATGTAGAAGTTAAAAAGGGAAGGGGACAGGATGCAGCCCTGCCGTACCCCTTTTTGAACCTTACTGGGCCAGTTAAAGTCCCTTGAGGATTACACCTCACTTTCAAGGTGGAATTGGCATACAATTTTTGTATGAGGAAAAGGAGGCATTTATTGATTGTAGTGCATTTTAATTTCTCCCATAGGGTGTTCCTGGATATTGAATCAAAGGCCTGCTTAAAATCAAGGAAGGCCATGTAGAGAGAGGATTTTTTTTTTGTAAGTGTATTTTTGCACCAGATAGTGAAGTATCAGGATATGATCCACTGTAGCTCTTCCTTCTCTAAAGCCGGCTTGTTCATCTTTGATTATCCCCCCTAAAATGAGCCAATCCTGGAGTTTATAGTTTAGGTGTTTAGCCCTTTTGGATTCTGGATACACAAGGTGTGCAATTAACCCAGAGGTGATGGAGAAACTAGGACTGAGGCTGAGGACAATGGAAGTGCCCATAGCGTTTTGCCAGTTGGATGGATCGGTAGCTGGGGAGGGCACAGTTCACTTTGTGATGAAACCAGTAGAGATATGGATGGGTGATCATCAAGAGACTTTGAGTTTCATTGTAGCTCCCAGAATGGAATGACCCCTTTTGCTCAGATTACCCTGGCTCCAGAAATGGAATCCTCACATGAACTGGAGGAAGGGGCTGTTGCACATCCGTTCCACCCAGCCAGGGAGGGGGGGAGGAAATCCCCCATGCATAGCCAAGGCCAAAAGGGAGCTGGCAGCGATAGCGAGCGAACACATAGTTGGGGAGGAGAAAATCCTAAAGGAATATTGGGACCTCAGAGAGGTGTTCAGTGAAAGGGCTTCCACCCCATCGTCCCACAGATTGCAACATAGAAATCCTTCCTGGGGTGAAACTACCTAGGCCAGTAATGGCTAACCTTTTTCTCGTTGCATGCCAGAAGTGTGCATGCACGCAATAGCGCGTGCGTGCCGGTACCCATAATGCAATTCAAACCCCCCATGAGCATGCGCACACAACCCCCCACGCTCCC